GTATCGATACTCGCATGTCCTGGTCTGCCAGGCAGTTTCGCATGCTCGATCCACTGTACCCAGACTCCATGGGACTGCCATATATGCCTCCCCATTGACCCCTCATGGCCCACCCCAACTGATCGGCAGTCCTATGGCAGTCCCATGGAGTGTCTGGGGTATATAAAGGGATCCGGACAATCAGTGGCTCGTCCCCGGCCATGTCTCGCAGAGGATGGACACTTAGAGGATGGACCCCGCACGCTGCTGGACCCGACGCAGCCACCGGGGACCCAAACGAAAGCAACGACCAACAACAACCATGCAGCTCCAGGCAGGGAGCCTAGAACACCTTCCCACTCAGAGCCCACATATGTTTGGTTTCCATGGACAGTAAGAGGGGAGGGAAGGATGCTTGGTGAGTTGCTAGCTGCTATGACATTGGAATGACTTGTGCTTATGATCTTCATCTTTTACCAAGTTCCACGCACCCAATATACCATGCCATGTTCCACGCACGCACCTCGTGGTACTATGCAGCTCGCAGCTCGTCCAAGCACCGCAGCGGCTCTCGTTGCTGCCAGGCCCTTTGCGCACCCGCTGAAGGGACCGGAGCCGCGAAAAGCGTCCCCGGAATCGGCCGACGAGAGCAAAAGAGCGGCGGACAAAAATGGGCCACAAAAGGCGCCTGGAGCCGCTTAGGGCGAGTAACAAGAAGCTACTAGTAGCTCCGGGGAGATGCTATTAGATGCTATTAGTAATTCTATAGCTACTAGTAGCAAGCTACTAGTAGCTATAGAAGTCCTTTCAATGTAAACCCTAGGAGCAAGGACGCTACTATTAGCTTCTGGCATCGCTACTAGTAACAAGGGCACGACTAGTAGCAGCAAGGACGCTACTAGATGCTACTAGTAACAAGGTGCAAAGTTGTTAGACCCCCAAACTCGCCCCAACCACCTTCGAAACGGAGGTACTTGGAGCCCTAGGGCCTAGGGAAAGTAAATCTCTGAAATCGGGTCATCTAAATCATCGTTCTAAACCAGGACCCTGAGCCGTTCGTGACCGGTTTTGGAATATTTGAATCGAGACTCTACTATACTATAATAAGTGAAGGACGGTGACTGAAGGTCACGGGAGATCCGATTCTCAACTAGACTATTGACCCGACTGAAGGTCCTAGCTGGACAAACAGGTCACCAAATTCGTCCCAAAATAGGACCTCACATAGAGCCCCAAGAAGCAGAGCTGACTTCGAAGTTGACAGTGGCAAGAGGTCCGCAGCTGTGGCTGTAGGCAAACCCCCGCAGGCATTGTTTCAGATGATTCTCCAGCAAAGCACCCAAAGAACACTAAGAACTCGGATCGCAGACAGTGGCGCAACTTTTGTTTATGAGACATGTTCCTCTTCAGTGTCAGGTGTTTGTCGTTGTTTTTTTAAGCCTATAGGATGTCTAACCACCGGTGTGTCTTTTTCGGCAAGGAAGATTTTCTTTCAATAGATGTATACATGACTAACAGTGACTAACACCTACCTCTTAAATCGGCAACGTGGATTCAATATATAGAGAGAGAGAGAGGTGTGAATAGGCCTCGTTACAAGGAATACACCGGCCATGGCCCTCGGTTGCTACGAGATGACTAACACCTATACCATCACCCAAATCGGCAAAGCCGTGGAGTTCCGGTGTCATCTCTTTGGCGGGCAACACCGCCGTCGGATGGATGACACCACGGTGGAATCCGTTCTTCGTTCGCGCGCCAAACGCGCGAGGCCTTTGTACCTTGAACGGCGCCTGCAACGTACAGTTCCTCCAGGACCCAGCAGATCCGGACGCGGAGCAGGGAGGAGAACGGCGATGGGCGAGAACAGCAGCTGAAATGACCCTTGAGGCATTGGAAGGTTCTTTTTTTTGTTTGTGTGTTGGTTTGATTGATTGTTTGTTTGATTGTTTTGTTTGATTGTTTTGTTTTGTTTTGTAATGAAATAAGTACAGTAGATACTCTTGTTGGGAAGACATGACGCAATGTAGACTCTTGATTAATAGAAGAAACAGTCATGTGGGGGGGGGGGTCATGAATCAAGAGTCTACATTACTCCATGTCTATTCCATGTCCAGATCTTCCCCGCAGAACACCTACTTGGTTCCGCCTCTCCACCGGCTCAAGAGAGCCTCCTTTAGGCTGAGCCCAGTAGAAGAGGTATAGCGGGCTGAGAATAGATGGCACAAAGGTTTATCTGGACTTCCATCTTTCTAAGTCATCTTGGGGTGCCAGTGCCGTTTCTCTGAAACCAATGCACCAAAAGAAACAGAGATGCTTCTTCACTTGCCTGATGAAAAGCCTGACAGCTGTCACACAAAGCGCTGAGTAGTGTTTTTGTATGACCGAACCCCAGTATTTCACCGCTCCAGTCCGTTCCGGACCACCGACACGCCGCCCTGGGTTGGCCCTTGGTCCGGCAAATCGGAGTCAGACTCCTGAACTGAAGTCACCTAGCTAGACCGGATCAGTTTTTTGAAGTATAGTCTTTGACTCCCAGGGAAGATCGATTGATCCCTGAAATCCACCCCTGGCATCAAATCGGCCAGTCTGACAGGTCGTATATTTGCTGTTGGGTGATCGATGTCTCGCCGAACGACCCCGTGCCCGCCCGCCCGAAGCCGACTCGCTGGGGGGGTTCGAAGATTCGGATGAACGGCAGGCACGGACCGACGCACGGACCGAAGAAAAGAGCATTTCCTGGCACCTACATCACTAGTGAAGTGCCCCCAATCACAACCTGAGAAGGTACCTGGATCCCTTTTCGGGAACTCAGGGACTTTTTCTTCAAACCACCATGTAGTTGTCCAAGAACATTCGGAAGTGGGTGCTGGAAGATGCCGGAGGTGTATGGTTCCAAAAATGGTGGTTTGGTGCTTCTTGAACATCTCGAATCACCTTTGCCTCTAAGAGACTATTTATAGACACCTCACAAGGAAGGTCCTGGTAATATTCCATTCCTTTGGCTCCTATACTTATGAGGGAGGAATCATATTTTTGGGATCTACCGATCTACCCGTCCGTCGTCTCAATGTCCGTAGAATCCACACGGCGCGTACGACTCCGTGGCCAGGATCAGTTGGCATTGGTCAAGCACCTGGGAAGCTTACAGGCCTCGGATGGACCCCCGCCGCAGGTCATCAGATGCTGCTGCTGCCAGGTTTGGAGAAACTGCAGCAAATAGAAACGTCTGAAAGGCAGCTGCTGTTCAGGTCCGGATTTGGATCTATATCCCTATATAGATCCACAATGATCCACATACCTTCTCAGGTTAGGTGATTGGAGACTGTGGATCCAAGGGTTTTCCAAATGGGACGTCCAGACTGGACACAGATCGTGCGGGGAGCAGAGGAGGGTTCCCCGCCGAAACCAGTCACATGGAGGCCAGGGTGGTGTTTACTCGTCCCATGCGGCCGTGGATGTGCTGGACCCAAGCACCAGGTGGGGTGGGAACACCATGGGGTGGAACCCACCAGAACTGGTGGATCCCAATTCCGGTGGTTCCAGGGATTTTGATAGGGATTTACGATGATTTATTGGCCTACATGTATCTATACATTCATCTCTGATTTACTGGCCTACATGAATCTACATTCATCTCTGAAAGCCAAATTTGCAAATGTATGCACTGTAGGCAATCATTCCAAAACCTTTGGTCGTGTGGGAAATGGAAAGGAAGTCCAGTTCCTTATCTTTATCCCTAAGCCCGAACGCGAATTCGCACGAGTTTTGCCGAACGCGAAGTGGTTGGGCGTTGGGGCCCCTCGACTTACACCCCACAAGGATCTCTTCAAGATGAGGAATTCAAGCAATACAAAGTGCCCTAAAACCTGTGTTTTCTGTGTCTCCAAAAACTATGCACCAGGCGCAGCAACTCTTCACGCCCTCATTTTGCTGCTGTTTAGCGTTGATCCTTAACAATTTGGCCTTTGCATTGCCTGACACACACACACACACTGAGATCGTTGCTCGCAAGAGCTAGTATCAGTACGAAGTTCCCCTTGACTGGAAGAAAAGTGCAAACCGAAAGGCGAGGAGGTCGGGAAAATTGAAGATGTTTAACAAATTGTTTCAGTGCACTAGCCGCTTACTGCAAAACACAGAAGAAGACAGCTTGGCAACAGTTGAAATAAGAAAAGCAGGTACGTGAACCTGGCGTCCCAGGTTCATATCCTCTCCAAACATCAGTAGCTTCGTTGGCCACAGACTGATGAATGGAGCTGTGGCCCCCTGCCTTCTTTTTCTGCGTTGAGGAAGTGTAAGTTAGTAGCGATACCAGGAGCCCTTAGTAGCAAAACCAGGGGCCCTAGTAGCGTTCTTTAAGACTCAAAACCTTAGGCACAGGTGTGGACACACACACACACGAAGCAGTACTCGGCGCACTGACCCTTGCTTACAGTTTAGTAGCGTGGCCAAGAGTCGCTAGTAGCGTCCTTACACCCTGTAGAAAGGTCAGAGGTCCTAGCTCCTGGTAGCAAGGCCAGAAGCCCCTAGTAGCGTCGTTGGTGTCCGCCGGTCGCAAAACTTTGTACATATAGCGCCAATATTGGCGCTTATTGTGAAGACTACTAGTGACCTAAAAAGCCTTAGAAAGACAGAAAAAGCAAACAAAACAAAAACAGACTAAGAGGGCAAGAAGGAAAGATAGGTGTAGTTACGAGGCCCACTTAGTTAAATGAAAGTAGAACGCGAGCGGGACATTTTGTGTTAAACCGCCCGGGTAGCTAGCAATAGAGTAGGAGAAACGGAAGGAAAGGCACCAACACACAAGTGTGTTGAGTGCGATTTCCTTCCGTTGCCCGAATAGCGGGTGGGATAGCAACCGAGGCCCAGGGGTAGGGAGGTAGGGGGGAGGGTGGGTTAGGGTGGCCTGTAGGCCTTGCCATCATTGGCTTTCAAGTAGAGCCGATTTGGGCCGGCGCGCCCCTTCTCTGAAAGACATCTGGAACCTAAAGAAAGGCCTCAAGAAACGAAAAGCAACAAAAGGAGAGAAAGAACCGAAGAGCATGAAAAAAACATGTAACAAAAGCACAGTGCTAAAACCCGCCTGTGAATACTTAGACGCATGTTTCCATGTGAATCTCAAGTGGGAATCACAGTGAGCCCTGCGGCATAAGATCAGTGGTATCGTGCAGCACGGTCGATCAGGAGTATGAATCACAGTGAGCCCTGCGGCATGGTATCCCCGAGGATCTGGGTCTGTGCACATGCGGCGCCCCTTGACGGGGATCACACCACAGCCCTCAGTGGGACCCTGTGGCGAAAACACAATGAGATTGTTGCTCGCAAGAGCTAGTATCAGTACGAAGTTCCCCTTGACTGGAAGAAAAGTGCAAACCGAAAGGCGAGGAGGTCCGGAAAATTGAAGATGTTTAACAAATTGTTTCAGTGCACTAGCCACTTACTGCAAAACACAGAAGAAGACAGCTTGGCAACAGTTGAAATAAGAAAAGCAGGTACGTGAACCTGGCGTCCCAGGTTCATATCCTCTCCAAACATATATAAGTAGCTTCGTTGGCCACAGACTGATGAATGGAGCTGTGGCCCCCTGCCTCTTTTTCTGCGTTGAGGAAGTGTAAGTTAGTAGCGATACCAGGAGCCCTTAGTAGCAAAACCAGGGGCCCTAGTAGCGTTCTTTATGACTCAAAACCTTAGGCACAGGTGTGGACACACACACACACACTTTTGACTGGTTCTTCCAAGTGACCTTTTGATAACCTGGTTTGAGGTCACTTAAGCCTCCTAAGGGTCACTTAGGAACCTTCAAAAGGTCACTTTGAAGAAGATGTTTTAGTTTTTTAATTTGGGTGTGTACCTCAAATAGGGAGACCTCCCACGCAATGAACCCCTTGGAAGGCTCGGGGAAATAGACCAGTCTTTTCAGCCTGGGGCGATCTATTGAAATTTTGGCCCGTCCTCCTTCTCCGAGCTTCTTGAGCTTTGCACCAGGTGATGTTGTTTTTCGCTTGTCGCACTCTCCCCATCTCGCAGGCTTTGTTGGTGAGTGGCGATGCAGATGAGGCGCGCTTTCCGCTTCGTTCTTTCGCACGACGTCGCGGCATCGCGCATGATCTCTTTGTGTTTATTTGGATCTTTATGTCAATTACATGTCCTGGTTTTGCGGATCAGGTGATCTTATTTGCCCTGAACTGGTTAAGTCCCCGTACCTGGGAAATGGCAAATAGTGATTATGTTATATATGTTCAGCAAATCTAAGATGTGTATCCACTTCCAGTCCTTCGAAGTGGCTTTCACCATGCTTCACCTGTTGAGTCAGAGGCCGAGGAGAACGGGGTTCACGTTCGGTCAGAACTCGAACGCGGACAGGGAGGTGTGGCTCGTGTGCTCCGGAGCTTGAAAAACCAGCTGCTCGGGGCCACCCCTTTCAACCTGAAAAACCACAGCGACTCGTCACTGGAGTCGGTTTCTCTCCACTTCCTGTCAAGGCAGGACTGGCCAGTCCCCTCCAGAACATCCACGACCACCGTACCTCGGTACGACTGAACCCTCCAAAGCTGTATACATCATATAACAGATCACAACAGTGTCTCCGTCCTCACCGTACCTCAGAAGGTGCAGATCCCGGAAAGTGATTGCTTCCAAATCGGTGCCGGACAGGTCGTTGTTTGAACATCCAACAGAGGTGGATAGTGACCTGAAGGAGTCGGACCCGTATCCTGGGGCACCTATAAGGATAGTCTAGTTCGGGTTTTGACCCACCTCTGCTGGATGATGGAACCTTCAGCTCCTTTGCCAGTCCTTGGTCGACATCGCAGGTCGTCGACCCCGTCGCCACTGAAGCCCTCTTTCAGGCGTCACAGCGTGGCAGTCGCCGAGTTTCGGCGAAATGTATTTTTTGTTTCGGGCTGGGCAGTATTCCAGTCCCATGGATGCTTGGAAAAAGTGTTTTCGGCACCCATTCTGAGAGTCTGAGTTTATCTTCCGGTGAGTCGTGGACTCCTTTCTTAGAGAAGTGGACATCGGATTGACAAAAGCTGGGCATTGAACATTGATGAACATCATGATATTTCTTCGGGGATGTTCCTCAGGCAAGGAGATAGTTGGATGATGTTGGATGATGTTGGATGTTTACATTTCCGTTCAGGTCAGTTCCTACCAATTCCTACCTCATGTCCACCCAGTTTGGGTGATTTGATACCACCCCCTGACTCACCTGACCATGCAATTTCCATCCAATAACCACCCAG